GAAAAAAATGGTGATAATAAAAAATAATGGAGTACTGGGAATCTATTAGGAATCAGAAAGGTCAAAGAAGAACATTTGGGGTGGCCAATAAATCCGGATTTCTAGGCCATCAATAATTCTGAATTTCCGAAACTGCAAACTCCCGAAAATCTGAAGTTCTGGAGTTTTTGAGTTTTGAGAATCTCAATTTCAAAGATTCTGAAAGTTCTGGAAAGTTTCAAAAATTCAGAATTTCCACAAAATTCAGAAATTCAGAAATTCAGAAATTCAGAAATTCAGAAATTCAGAAATTCAGAAATTCAGAAATTCAGAAATTCAGAAATTCAGAAATTCAGAAATTCAGAAATTCAGAAATTCAGAAATTCAGAAATTCAGAAATTCAGAAATTCAGAAATTCAGAAATTCAGAAATTCAGAAATTCAGAAATTCAGAAATTCAGAAATTCAGAAATTCAGAAATTCAGAAATTCAGAAATTCAAAAACTCCGAAATTCAGAAATTCAGAAATTTAGAAATCCAGAAATTTAAAAATTCAGAAATTCGGAAATTCGGGAAAAAAATCTAGGAATTCCGACAATTCAGAAATTTGAAATCCCAAAAATTCAGATTTTTCCAGAAAATTCAGAAATGATCCCGAAATCCTGGAAAATTCAATAATACCGAATACCTGGAATTTCGAATTTTTGGAAATAAAAAAAATTCAGAATTTATAAAATTACAGGAAAGTCAGGAATTTTGATTTTTGGAAAAAATTGAAATCCAAAAGATCAGAAACTGGAAAAAAAAGAACATTTCTTCAAAGACCATCAGGTTTTTTTCCAGTTTTCCACGAGTTATTCACCCATTTCATCATCATATTTTCTTTTTTTTTGTATTTTTATGATTTTTTTCTTTGAAAATTTAAAAATCGGTTTTTGAACGGTTCTCTCTTTTTTTCTAGAAATTTCCACAATTTCATTCATTTTTGTTTTGGGTCAAACCAAACAATTGAGAGACATTTGGGATCACAAGTTTATAAAAAATCCAGTTTTTTTTATTTTTTTGATTTTCAGTCTTTATTATTGTTTCCGACTGGACTGAGACTTAGTCCCATTGGTTGGAATGAAATGATAAAAAGTACATTGTTTTAACGGAGATTGTTGCGACCAATGATACTCGTTTTTCAACTTTTTTTCGATTTTTATTTTGAGAAAAAAAGGGAAAAAAGTTAGGACCTAAAGATATGGGTGGTCGGAAAATGGGTATGGGTGGTCTAAAAAGGTCGATATGGGTGGCCTATAAATGTTTTCTAGACCACCCAGAGTGGTTTAACTAGATGATTTTTTGCAGATCTTCAGATTTTTCATACACACAGGTTGCAATTTTTCCAGATTTTCAGATATTGGAATTTTCAGACTCTTCGGTTTTCAGTTAAAAAGCTTTGATTTCAGAGGCTTCTTATTTCAGAATCCTAAAATTTCTGAAAATCTGAATATTTCAGAATCCCAGGATACCGGAATCTTGGAATCTCTATAAAAATCTTAAAAATTTTACGCATTCTAGGTTATTAAAGTTTTTAAAAAGCATTAAAAGCTCTAAAAACCTTCTAAATTCTGAAAAAAAATTGAGAAACTTCATAAAATAAAAATTGTTAAACTTTTTGCAAAAACTCAAAAAGAAATGATTGTGAGCTTTTTCAAATACAGTAACCCGAATTTGAAAGTCAGGTTCCGTTCATCTTACTACAGTAATCTGTATACCGTATTTCCTCTAATAGAAGCCCATGGGCTTCTATGTTTCAACCTCTATCTCAAGATGGGCTTCTATTAGAGGTGGGCTTCTATTTCTCAGTGATTAATTTTCAAAAAAATTTTTGTTCAAAAAATCAGAAATTTGACAAATCGGAAGTTGAAAATTCTGAAACTCGGTGTTTTTTCTTAATTCGAAATTTTCATTCTGCAATTCTAAACTCCAAAGTTTCGAATTTATGAAATTCTAAGATTCCAGAATCTCAAAATTCAAAATTCAGGAATTCTGTAGATCAGAAATTGAGAAATTTTCGAATTCTAAAATCACAGTTTCAAAAATTCTGGAATTTTTAATTACCGTATTTTCTCTAATAGAAGCCCATGGGCTTCTATTAGAGGGTGGGCTTCTATTTTTCGAAGCACCTCGCGGGGTGGGCTTCTATTAGAGGTAAGCTTCAAATAGAGGTGGGCTTCTATTAGAGGAAATACGGTATTACTAAACTACCGCACCCCCGAAAAAAAAATACAAAATCTTTTATTGGTTTCAAAAGCATGACTATTTTTAAAAAATCCCATTTTTTTCTCAATTTTCCTGTTGCACTTACGACTTCGTAGGCAGAATTTTTGTTCCGGGTTGTAATTTTTTTTTGGTTCTTATCATATATGAAACCCAATTTTTTTGTCTCGTTCTTTCTTTTTTTCGTATATAATTTTTTTTTTTTGGTTTTTTTTTCGTTCCCTTTATCAACATTTGTGCCATCATACGACCAATCTTATCTGGTTCCATTTTTCGCCGCTCAATTCGACTTTTTCATTTCAACGCCAAACATTTTTTGGCTTTATCAATTTGGGAAGAAAAGACAAAATGGGTAAATCGGGAGAGAATTCGATTTTGAGAAAAGTTTTGAGGGAAGTTGCCAAAATGGACACTCTGAAAAAATAAGAAATTGTAGTAAACCAAAGACATAGAGCTACAGTATGTATACCTATAGTACGCTTCTGTGGATTCTATGCACTTCACTACAGTAACACTTTAATTTACAGTAGCACAATCACAGTGAATCAAGATGACGATACTGTAGATAATATAGAGCTACAGTACCCTTAAAGGAACGAAAATTGAGAAAATAAAATTACTTTAGAAATCTTAACTATCTTTGAAATCTAAATATGACATTTTTCAAAATTCTAAAAATCCTAGAAGTCTTAAAAATCGTATGAAATTTGAAAAATCTCAAAATTATGAATTTCTGAATTTTTCGGTGAACTATAAACACACTAAAAATTCTGAAATTCTATAAGTCCTAAAGATTCTTAGAATTCTTCAAGTGCTTTAAATCCTTAGAAAACAACAATTTCTGAAAACTCTTGATAAATATTTTTAAATTCTAAGAAAACCGAAAAATTCAAGTTTTCAACATACACGAATTACAAAATTTATGAAGTGGAGAGATCTAGAAATTAGTTCAAAATTATAGAATTGATTCAATTTTTTGAAATTCTTAGAATCAAAATTCAAAGAGCATTGGAGTTTCCCCCACAAAAAATCCTGGAAATCTAAAGATATTTGATTTCAGAAAATTCGCAAAAAACCTAGAGATGCGAAAGAAAGACGAAAATTCTTAATATCAAATCTGATAGTTTTAAAACCATGAAAAATATAAATTTTATTCAAAAACAATTGGTTGGAAAAAAAACAATGAGAACCTGATAATCTGAACAATTTTTCGAAAATCTTGGATTCTTTAGATATTTCAAAACTCTTCAATTTTCTTAAAATTAATTCTCATCGCATTGGATCCATCATCAGTCTCCACCAATTTCTGTCCTGATTCATTTTGAATCTCAGAATATTTGAATTCTTTAAGACATTCAAATCCATTTTTCGCCAATAAAATCTGATTAGCATGAGAAGTGGTCGCTGAAACGATTCCATCGATTCCCATCGATTTTGCTGATTTCATATTTCGATTTAACATTTTCGATGCTATTCCTTGACGTTGCCATGGAACGCCGACGCTTGAAATTTCACGATAGATGACTGTATTGATGTCGGATGGGACCAGCGACCAGAAATCATCATGACACTTTTGGAGCACGGATACTGCAATTCAGAATCTTAGTATATTAGAGTATATTAGAGGTTTTTCCAAATCAGAGGTCTGGATTTTTCTTGTTTGGTTTTCAGATTTTCAGGTTTTTTTGGAAATTCCTAATTTTTCGAAATTTCAAATCACAAATTTGAGTTGCTTTCAGAAAAATAGACGTTTCTAGATGTATTTTTTTGAATTCTCGCAAATTGAAATTTTCAGTTTTTGGCACTTTTGAAGAGGTGGCATAGAATTTTCAGTTTTGGCGGGAATTCAAGAATATATTCACGATTTTTTTCAGAAAAAAAAAGAAAATTTGGTGGACCCGATTATATGGGTGGTCGGAAAAGAGGTATGGGTGGTCTGAACTGTTCGATATGGGTGGCCTGGAAATGTTTTCTAGGCCACCAAGGGTGGTTAGGCTAGATGATTTTCTTAGCAGATTTTCAGATTTTTCATTCATTCGGTTTCCAATTTTTCCTGATTTTCAAAGATTTTTTGAGCCATTTTTTAAAGTTTTCTTTGATTCTTGATTTTTAAAGGAATTTTCAGATTTTTCGGATTTGCACTTTTAAAAATCCTGGAATTACTAAATTCTTAAATACTCGAAATATTCCGAACTTCATAATTCCAGAATGTTTGAAAAATTTCTAATTCCAAAAAAACTCACAAAATCTTTGCATTGTATCCGAGAATCCGCTCAAATCGTGATCTACAGATTTCCCATTTTCATTTCTCTTCCTCTCATCCTCCTGTCGATTCCAAACCGAATTCAAAAGTACTCCAACTACAGTATCCCCATTTTCTACATCTCCATCTGGACACGTCACTATCGTGGACCATGGATGTTTCAGACTGCTTTGTACCATTTCGGCGAAAATTGGAAGCCATTCTTCAATTGTGGTTTTGGTGGCCTAGAAATTTGAAAGTGTGGCCTAAGAACCGACCGGGTGGCCTAGAAAAACGAAAATTTAATAGGTGACCTAGCAAACTAAGAAAGTGGCCTATAAATACACTGGTGGCCTAGAAAATGCAAAGAAACCCTCACCCGAATACTTGGCTCTTCATGGTAGAAATGGTCGGCGAGAAACTTCAAAATTCGGTCATAATCCGATTGTTGGGCCGTGTCGAAAATGTAATTTGACATTAATTTTTCTGAAATTTAAAAAATTGCAAAAAAAGCTGAAAATAGCGAGTTCTAAAATTACATTTCGAAAGAAAAAGAATCAATAAAAAATTCTAGAAGAACACACAGAATTCTATAGTAATAGTAAACAATTTTTCTGCACAAACAAAATCATGCGACTAGAGAAAGTGATGTGTTTTTTCTTATAGAAAGTGATGTGTTTTCTCTTATATACGCAAAATTGTAGTTTGTAGTTTCTCTGATTGTTTGAATTTTGTTTCTACAGTCGGAAAGACCACAATGTAATTGAACTGGGCAATGGACTTTTTATCAGTTTTAATGATTATATAGTCTACCAGTGAAAAATTAAAATCAGAAAAGAAATTGTGCTTCTCAGGTTTTCAGGTATTTCAAACTTTGTAACTTCATTGTTCCCAGAACCGTCTTGACAAGCTGATTCGTATGCAGTACTTTTCATAAAAATAGCATCAAAACAGGCCGAGTTATGGTGGTTTTTATCAGACGCACATCTCTCCCCTATACTCAGTAAACATGGGAAACGGCCGTTTCTTTTTTCTCTCCTCTCTCCGCGTGTCTTCCTCTCCCTATCTTTCATATACGCAAATAATTTTTGTAAAACCACCGGGTGTCGTGGCGGGCGCCTGTGAGTCAGCTTCTTGACGGTAGACAAGTGTGGATGGAGTGAAGGGAGGAGTCCTGTGGGTGTTGTCGGCAACGGCGACCGAGCGTCCGTGCCAAGCGCTGCGTCGCTAGGGGTCTCCGGTCGGAAGGCTGGCGGTCCCGGGCGCATAAGGAGTGGTGCACGGCTCAGGGCCGAAAGGCAGCAGGCAAAAGCCACCGCGCGGTGCAGTGGCCGGATAGCGCTTGTGAGTTGTCGCTCGCCCACAGCCTCTCTGATACCTTCAGACCACTTGTCATTTTTTGAAAATTTAGTTGTATTTTGGAAGATTTGAAAGTGCCAAAATCTATGATTCCTGGAGTATGAACACAGCCAAGAATTTACTCGAGATTATCTGATTTTTCAAATGTTTTACCGAAATCTACTGAAAGGTGGGGGGACAGGAGATTTTACGGGGGATTTTTGGGGCCAGAGTATGCATTCTACCGTAACGGTGTACAACGCTTAATGTCACTCTGCGTACAGCTGTCGCCCTTGCCTTTATGCATGCAATCGGGCAGCGGCTTTCTCTTTGCACGCGTAGCTCAGTCGGTAGCGGCGCCGCACCTTCAACACTCGCCTCGACAAGTTCAACTCCTCGAGGAGCATATTTGAACGGAATTTCGACAACATTATTTTTCTCATATCCCCCCACCTTGAAATTAGAAGGATTTACGATGTGGGTATCGAAAAAACTGATGAAGAATCTGTGAAATTTGATGTGAACACTGTGTGTGTGTTACAAAAGAAACCCTAGGGTTTGGCACTTTCGGGATCTTTTGACTCGGAAAAGAATAATAGAGACTTGGCATACATCTGATTCTAGATTAAAGTGGGTTGGCAAGAAAATGGAAAATGTATTTATTTTCAATTCAAAAAAGTTTCGAAATTTACAAAAATGATGGTTTCGAGAATCTTCCTAAGCACTGACTGGTCTGTTGTTCACCAAAGATGGAGCTGGAGCATTCTCATTTCCAGCATTAGCCTTGTTCTTATTGGATCCCCATGCCCAGACCGATGGATAAGCAGCAGCAGTAAGATATGGAGAATAGACAGATGGATAGGCATATGCAGATGGATAATAGGCTGCTGAATAGGCTGGAACAACCACTTGTTGATGAGAGAATCCAATAATCATGGAGCAGAGAACGAGGGCAATGATGCTGGAAATTTTGGAAAATGCTTATGAAATTGGTTACTGTAACTCTTACCACTTAGCGAACATATTGAATGGGAGTAGTGACTTGGAAGTGTCTTCTGCTCAAATTTTCCGCACTTTTATACTTTCCAAAATTTATAACTAGTACAGATGCTCAAAAGAAAAAAAATTAGCACATACTACAGTTTCTTTTGCGGACGGGGGAAGTGTTCGCGCGGGTGCAAATATGATATAAAAACCATAAACCTAAAATTACCATTCAAACATTGCAACGTTCTGTGTGCAAACAAAACTACAGTAACCGGATTTTTTAATGTTTTTCTAGCTTCAGAAAATCAGCAATTTTAAAATCCGTTTTCCCGAATCTCCAAACCTTTTTCCAGAGACAGATACCAATCTTCATCCTCAAAAATTCAACTTTTTTTCTCCCCAATTTTTTCACCGCCACCTAACCGTTTCTTTTCTCCCGATTAGCCTAGTATCTGATCGCTAGAGAAAATGTGACCTATTTCAAAAAAAGAAGAGACGCATCACCCAATCCTTTTTCTTTTTTCTCAAGAGGAAGAAAGAGAAGAAGGGATATACCGCCCTTGGGTTTTTTGGTCGTTCCTTTATACCTTCGCAGAAGGTAATTGGTATATTCTCCCCTGTCAAAAAAACCGCCATCCGAGACTTCCCGGGGATCAAAAAAAGTCCCCGCAATGCGCGAAATTGCTGCTTTATTACTTCTTGTTCTCGGAGGAGAACTTGTCCAGGCCGCAGGTGAGACACTTTTTCCAAACTTTCTCTTGATGTGTTACTTTAACACAAATCTACTTGTTTTCTTCTACATGTCAGATCTAAAACCAGGTTTCTAGCTAACCTGTGAGCCGAGATATGGACGTTTGAAGCTTGGAGAGACGCATACAACACTATAGCTTCTCTGCGTCTAGCACAGCTCCCAGGCTACTGAATGAGCTCTATTTTGTACTGAATTGCTCACAATGATATAGATTTTCTGATTAGCCATTAATCTTTCCAACATTTTAAGCTTTCAAGTTTTATTGTATAGCTATGAAAGTAATATGACAAGGAAGCTCTATTCGAGTGAAGTCGCTTATACTTTTTTAAAAATTTACACTAATGCTTTATTGTGATAAAAATCTCCTTGTTTTCTTCTCCATATCGGCTCAAGAACCAGATTCCTAGCTCAACTGTGAGTTGAGATATGAGCTATTCTAAACTTTAATTGGTCGTATCTCGGTTTCTAGACTGGCTAGAAAAGTGATTTTTGGACTAATTTGTAGGATTTTTCTCGCTTTTTCGAATTTGCCGTTTTTAATTTCTTAGTTTTTCTTTGTTGAAAAACTATCGCGGAATTGCTTTCTTTCTTGGTTAAATTGCATATGCAGAGAGGAAAACAAGTGATACTTTCGAAATACAGTGGCCAACGTTAGTGAGTGTCACTGTATAATTTTGTTCATAACTTTGCTCAAACTTGTTCAATAATCGAAAACTTTTTTGTTATATGTAGCTGAGTTTCCAACAAAACGTTATATAAATTTTTTGAAATTCAATCAATTTTTGTGTCTTCTGAATTTTCACAGACGTGACGATGACTCCAGAATACATACAGAAAAAAATTTGAAGCGGTTTGGAACACCTGCTCTTGAGATGTGCTCACTAGAGCATAAAAGGTATGGTTCTGGAGTTTGGCTATAACTCGGCTCAAAATGATCCAATTTTTCAATTTTTCATCACAAAGCCAATCTGTAAAAAAATTCTGACATTTAAAGTTGGGGGTAACTTTAACCGCTTATATCTCAGCTCGCAGACCAGCAGGAAGTATGATTTCAAATAGGTTAATGAAGTTTTTAAGGGTGGGGGGACAGGAGATTTTTCGGAGGTTTTTTGGAGTTAGGGTATGCATTCTACCGTCACGGTGTACAACGCTTAATGTCACTCTGCGTACAGCTGTCGTCCTCGCCTTTATGTATGCAATGCCGCTTTCTCTTTGCCCGTGTGGCTCAGTCGGTAGCGGCGCCGCACCCACAATCCTCGCCCCCACAAGTTCAACTCCTCGAGGGGCATATTTAAAAGGAATTTCGAGAACATTATTTTTTCATGTCCTTCCACCTTTAAGATTTGAACAGCTTTTTGGTTTTGACCATTTTGGCACAGAAACGGGATCTTTAGCTCTTCTGGAAACCGAGATATGAACGTCTGAAAGTTATTAGTCAGAGACGCAGACGATTAGAGTGTCTCGTTGTCAGCGTCTTTTCCAAGTTTGAACGCTCATATCTTGGCTCCCACTTGAGCTAGAACTATGATTTTTGTTTCAAAGTTTTTCTTGCAAAGCCGCAAGTTTATTCCTGACAAAAAATCCCAATTTTCAGACCTTCTCTCTATCCCATCGACCACATTCAAAATTCCAAGAAACGCCCAAGAAGGCGATGTGATATTTGGCAATGGATATATCCGGGCGTCCAAGGTAACAAAAGTTCTTCTTCAAAAAAAATTGACCACTAATCCAATTGACCCTATTATGTAATTGTTCTTTCTCTCTTATCATCATCCGTCCCTTGAATGGGGCAATAATCATTAATCATTAGTAGCAGCGGACGTTTTTGTCAATCCTTATCAAATTTCTTGACAAAACTGAGACAAGAGAGAAATTGGGTCAACAACAAGTTTGTGTGTGTTGAAAATTCTTCATATAGGTATAGGAACGGATTATCAGGTGATAGGGTGGTGATAAAAAAATCAGGCTAAGGTTATGTAGTGATATGGGTGTTCAAAATAAATGTCTCCGTTTAGAAAATCGAGAAAAACAAAGTTTTTGGAATTCAAACTTTTTAGTTCCCTCCAGTCAAAAAAAAAGGAAATCCTTTATTTTGGTAAAAGAACCAAGTTACTAGCAAGTTACAAGTTACTGGGGGGCCGAGATATGAGCGTTCGAATTTTGAAGAGACACAGACAACGAGACACTCTAGCTTCTCTGCGTCTCTCACTAACCAATCTCTAGAAGTTCATAACTCGGCTTTCAGAAGAGCCAAACACTACATTTTTGTGCCGAAATTGTTCCTACGAAACCAGAATTTCAAAATTGAAATATGAATATAATATGAGTTCCTAGTTCACTTGTGAGCCGAGATATGAACGCTTGAAGTTTGGAAGAGACGCAGACAACGACACACTCTAACAGTCTGCGTCTCTTCTTAATTTCAAAGACTCCTAACTCCGTTGCTACACAATCTAGAAGATTGATTTTTGAACCAATATGAAGGACTTCTCTCGCTCTTTCTAATAGTTTATTTGAAAACAATTCAGGAAATCGACGAATCGTTGAACCTGGAACTGGAAGGAACCAATCCATCACCAATCGCTATCAATGGATCGATAGTCGATGCTGGACAACCTGTGAAGTTCATTTTGGTGAACAAGAATGCGTTTGAAAATGGGAAAAGTCGAGTCAAGGTGAGAAATCTGGAGAATATTTTTTCTGTTTTAAAATTTGAGTACACCAATGAATGAACTATGCTTTTTTACGCCAAACCTGTCCCAGCTTTCTAGCGCAAAGTGTCGTAAGATGTGGTGTTTTGTCTGCAAATACCAAGTTACAGTTACACCAAATTTGACGACACCTTGAGTTAGAAATCTGAAGTTTTCCGGATATGTGTGAAAAGTTATGTTGAGTCTACTGGCAACTTTTGTTTTTAAAAATTCAGTCTTTCAAAATCATCAAAATCTGGCAATTTAAATGGGCAAAATTCTTGAAATCTTTTATTTTCGAATTCTCGATTTCGAAATTTCAAGACCAAGTTTTCCACTAAATTTCTTATCGTTTTTTACCCCTTCCCTGAGAATTTCAGTGTTCTAGCTCAAAGTGTCGTAAAATATCACAGGGTAACGGCTGCGCATATAGTACGCTATATGCGCGCACGCGCCATCGAGATCGGACATGCCGCTTCCATAATTCGTCTACAATTTCAGGTCGTATTGGCGATAGGAATCTCTTATATAGATTAGTTTATCTAGCTATAGTTGTAATAAGATGTGATTTTGTTCAGAAAAAAATTTAACAAGGCTCTTGAAATTGCACGGCATCGCGGTTGGGAACCTGAAAAACGCGCGCTTCGTCGCACACAAAAGTTGGATGCGTGCCAGATTCGAAAATTTCAAAACATGTTTTGAAAAAAACGTGAAGTTAAGCGTTGTCGAGCCGCTACTCACCGAAAAGCCGCGACGCGACCGCGCAACGCGTCCAAAATTGGCGCGCTTTCCAGTTTTTAAATCTAGGTTCCCTTCCGCGAGGCCGTGAAATTGGCATTAATTTGCATAATTTTGTTTTCGAAATAATTTTGTGTTTCTCGGATTTTTTCCTATGTTTACTTCGTAATAATCGGAAAACTTACCAACCAACCTTTATTCCATCTGAAAAATATATCATCCCGCTTATTCCGAAGTAAAACAGAAAAGTCCTAATTTTAAGAAAAACCGGATTTTGTAACAAATTTTACCAATTTCTTTACTAAAAATAAGTTGTATTTTAGTTAGCCATAATTTTTACATGGGAAAACTGTGAGAAGTTCTTTGAAAGCAGGAAATATGATCAATATGATCGAAAAATTGATCAAGATCGGCGGTAAAAAATTTTGCTAAACAACGCGCACTAGCATAATAGCGGAGTGTCGTTGGTGGGCTGCGTTTTTCATGGGAAAAGCGTGCATGCTATATGGATGCTATATGGTTGCGCCCACCGGCGAACAGTCGTGCCCAGCGCCGACTCATAAAGCGCGCATGCGCTACCCACGGAAATATTATGGGTGCACATAGCATCCTATATGCGCGCCTAGACATATACCATGCGCAGCCGTTACCCTGTAATGATTTATTGTGTGCAAACACCAAATTATAGTTAAGAAAATTTCAGGGTAGGGGTAAAAAACTATAGGGAATTCAATTGGGAAACTGAATTTTTCAAATTTCAAAAATTGAAACTTTCAAAAACCTGCGGAAAAAATTTCAGCTCCAAGCGATCGGTGTAATTTCTGGAAAAGTTCAAGAGGAAACCATCAACTTTGAAGTTGAATCATCATCCAGCCTTCCCGAAATCCCTGAAATTCCTAATTTTGTTGTGAAAAGTGACTTCCAAGATAAGGAGACAGCCATTGTGAAAGTCAGCTCTCAAATTCCCCAAAATTCTGAACTCGAGGTCCTTGGATCATACTCTGAAAGAGTTCAAGCCACATTTCAAGATGATAATATTATTCTGGATACTGTACCTTGTCAAGCAGATGCACCATGTGAAGTCACATTCCCGTTTACGGTCATTTTGGTGTTGAGAAATGGAGAGAGTCATGTGGAGGCGTTGTTGACTTTTGAAGAGGAAAAGGTGAGTGATTTTTGATTTTCATAAAAAAATAAATGTTATCATTTAATTTCTCATGATTGTTAGCCCTAACCTAATTTTTTTTAGGCTTTCTAGATCAAAGTTTCGTATGGTGTGTTGTTACTGTAACTTGGTGTTAGCAGAACATACACCAAAGCTCACGACACTTTGAGCTAGACAGCTGAAAAATTCAGGATTGAGGTAAACGACTATGAGAAATCTAGTGGTGAACTTCTTTTTGCTTAATTGTGATTTCGGATTTTGGTCTATAAAACCACCATTTTTGATGAAAAGTGGAAAGTTCTGTCTTTCACAGCCAAATTTTCGAAAAATCAAGATCACTACTCGATTTCTCATGGTTTTTTACCACTAACCTGGAATACCGTAAAACCTGTATTAGAAGGGCCGGCCCTTCTATTTTTCCAAGGTACTTCCGGAGGGCCCTTCTATTACAGGGGCCCTTCAATTAGAGGGGGCCCTTCTATGTTTTCGGTCATTTTTCCCGTATTTTGTCATCGAAAAATTAGACGAATTTTTATTCAAAATTCATGGAAATCCATCAATTTCGCCAAAAGTTAGCAAGATTTTCATCGAAAAATAGAGTTTCAACAAACTTCTAATGAATTGTGAAACTCCCGGATAATTTTTCACTGAAAACGTACGGAAATTTTTTAATTTTAAGCCACATTTTGAAGGGGTTCGTTCTTTACAGGGGGTCCTTCTATTGCGGGGGACCTTCTATTGCAGGGGGGGGGGCCTTCTTTTTTTCCAAGCCTCTCTCGGAGGGCCCTTCTATTAGAGGGGCCCTTCTATAAAAGGGGCCGTTCTAATACAGGTTTTACGGTATACAGCTTTCTAGCTCGAAGTGTCGTAAGCTGTGGTGTTTGGTAACACCAAGCTGCAGTTACACCAAACTTCACGACACTTTGAGATGGGAAGCTGAAAACTTCAGTGTAGGGGTAAAAGAGTACGAGGAATCTGAAAATAGTAGCGGTTTCTATTAATATCGACTTTCAAAGGCTCAAATCGTACATAGAATGATCATAACGTTTTACGACTTCTAGAACAATTTTCAAAAACCCAATTGAAAATAGGAATGTTTCCAGAAATCGTATCTAAAAATGACTCAAAGACTGTACCAAACCACCATCGAAGAGCATACCGGAGGACAGGATCATCTCGTAAAGATCACAACAAAAGGCGCAAATTCCGAAGTACTGTATTCGTTGCGGGACTCATCTGGACTATTCTCAATTCACCCAAAAGAGGGAATTCTGTCGATTTTGCATCCAGAATTTTTAACGATTAATTCATTTGGGGATACTGTAAATCTTACTGTAGTAGCGACGGATGGTGATAAGACGACTGATGCGATGATTGTCGTCAAGATTGTTCCAGAAGTTCAGAAAAATGTGGTTTTTGGTTTTGAAAAAGTGAGTTTGGTGGCTTGAAAATGTGATTTTCGGGGTCCCCGTGTTTGTTTACCCGAATCCTGAAATTTTCAGCGTTCTAGCTCAAAGTGTCGTAAGATTTGGTGTATGGTCCGCAAACACCAAATTACAGTAACACCACACCTTACGACACTTCGAGCCAGGAAACTAAAAATTTCAGGGTAGGGGCAAAAAAGCCTGAGAAATTCAATGGTGATAGTAGTTTTTCATGATATACTTCTTAAAATTCAGGAATCCTACGAAATCACTGCTGACAATATTTCCCCAATTTTGGGCAACATTGCTGCCAAGTCCTCAACTCCCGTTGTCTACCGTATCACCGAAGGACGTGGGGATTTGTATAAAGTTAAGCCAAATGGAGATGTAAGGTATACGGGAAAGCTGGTCAAGGAGGACCGGGAGGATGAGATTACGGTAGGTTATGCTTGCCTGGATGTCCGGATGTCTTTTTTTTTGCAGGTAGCCGTTCAGCAATCAACTGGGGGTCTTAAAATGGCCTCAACGAAAGTGCAAATGCATTTGAAAGGAATTGGCTCAAATCCTATAACCACCAAAGATCCATTCGAATCAATCGAGATGATATCCTCAGAAGAACCAGCAGGAGTCGTGGTGTCTTCGATTCAATTTGATGACGTGGATTCTGATGCCAAGCTACAGTACTACTTGGAACAAACCAAAGCGAAAAACGAAAATGGAGAAGATTTGAAGGATGAGAACTTGTTTGAAATCAAATCTGAAGGCAAAACAGCTCATTTGGTGGTTTCCGGAGACCTCTCATCTTCAGAAGCTTCTACAGTAATCCTTAAAATCACTGCACAAGACTCCGCACATCCCAAAGAGCCGATGGTTACTGTAACTCGACACATTGTGATCCAACGAGAGAAGTCAGAAGAGCCACAACTCGGGCTAAATCTGATTCAACTGCCAAAAGAGATTACGGTACCGTTTGATGCGAAAATCGGAACGTTTGTCTATCGGACTACAGTACTCCCCGAGAAGAATGATTTGGAGTTTTCTATTGAGCCATCTCATTTGTTCAATATTTCCAATAAGGGAGATATTGTTACAGCAAAGGAATTGACTGGAGAAGCGGAGAATTTGAAAATCCATGTCATCGTGAAAGATCCCATGTCTTCCACTTCTTCTGAATCCTCTTCTCAAATCGTGCTGAAAAAGATTCTGAAACCTCACTTCTCAGAACCCCAATACCTTGTCAATTTGCCACGTGGAACTCCGGAGAATGCAGCGATTACTGTAGTTTCTGCTACAAACCAAAATGGAGAACCAGTCAAGAATTTCTTGCTAAAAGGAGGGCATTCTAAGTATTTCTCAATTGATAAAAATGGAGCTGTAAAGACTTTGGAGGCTTTGGACGAGCTGGGAAACGAGTTTGATCTACTGGTGGCCGTGGCCGAGGATCCGACGATTTCTGTGCCAATCCACGTCACACTTCAGAAGGCTCGAGAGTCGACGATTGTGCTTCAGGAGACTCAAATCTTTGCAACGGTTTTCGATAATCTTCCAATAGGATCATTTATTGGAAAAGTTGAAGTGAAGAATGGAGAAAAAGTGAAATTTGAAATGGCTTCTGAAGAGAAAGGAATGATGGATTTATTCAAAATTAAAGATGATGGAACGATTATTAGCAGTGATTGGTTAGCAGGTACGGAAGATTTGAACCCCCCCCCCCCCCCCATACTTTTTTATGCTACAGCTGAAACTTTTAGCCTTCTAGCTCAAAGTGTCGTGAGATGTGGTGCATGGCCCGCAAACACCAAATTACAGTAGCACCATACTCACTTAGAACTGAGAGTTTCAGAGTAGGGTAAAAACCTTGAACAGTTCAATGATGACTTTGGTTTTTCAATTTTCGGTCCTTGAAAATGATATTTTAATTTTCAAATTCTTAGAAAACTTCAAATTCTGACTTTCAACATCAAAATTTTGGAGAACCAAGCCCATCACTAATTTTTTCATAGTTTTTTACCCCTACTTTGAAATCTTCAGTTTTCTAGCACAAAGTGTCGTAAGCTTTGGTGTATGGTCCGCAAACACAAATTACAGTTACACCACATCTTACGACACTTTGAGCAAGAAGGCTAAAATTTTCAGGGTTAAGGTAAAAGCTTGTGAGAAATCTGATGGTAATCTTCTCACAACCCAAAAGTTTCAGGAGCCGAAGGTATGCACAAATTCTCTGTTCTGGCTTCCAACATGGATCAAGCTGGTGTTCGGTCTGCAAACGCTACAGTAATCATAGATGTGATCAAATCAAATGAGTGTGCTCCACGATTTAAGAAAGATGAGAATTTGATTTTCTATGTCAGAGAGGTGGGACATGTCAGAAAACTCCAAAAAAATTGACTTTTCAACTTTCAGAACACTCCCACAGATACAGTAATCGGAAAAGTTGCCGCTGATGTTTTGCCTGGAAAATGTGACCTGGAATATTCGATAATTTCCAATGATGAGCAACCAATTCTCATCATAAATCCAGCGAATGGAGAACTAAAAACCGCACAAGAGTTCGATTTCGAAAAGTCCAAATCTCATATGCTAACCCTAAAACTAGTAGCTGGAAAGCATAATTCTGTGGAGATGGGGGCGGAGCTTCGAGTGATCGATCAAGATGATCATCAGTTGAAATTTGATCTACAAGAGCAGACGGTAGAAATCCCGGAGGACGTGGCAAGAGGTACTGTAGTGGCTACAGTAGTCGCTCGAGAAGAAGATGAGAGTCAGGAAGTGTTCTATCATTTGCTAGCCGGTGCTCCACCTCAGTTTTCATTGGATTCGAGTACCGGAAAAGTGATGGTTGAAGAGTTATTGGATCGAGAAGAAATCGATCAATTTGTGATTGAAATTGGGGCTTCAAACGACGAAAATCTTATCAATGGACCATCGACAAAGCTTACCATCCAGGTCAAAGATGTGAATGATAACTCCCCACGATTTGATCTACCTTCCTACTATACAGTAACCTCTAAGGATACAGTGGTTGGAAGTTCTCTTTTGGAACTACATGCTTATGACCCAGATGTGATGGATAATCTCAAAAAGTTGGATTACAGTGTGACCGGCGCCAGTTTCGAATATCGAGGAATGAGTAGAAATGTGGATGAATTTTTCGACATCCAAAGTCAAAAATTGATCCTTATGAAATCACTGTCAGACTATGTCGGGGGTGTATTCAATGTGCAGTTACAAGTCAGGGATACTGTAGACGGAACGATCGGAAAATCTGCTCTCCGAGTCTACGTACACGACTCATCCGATTTGCTGAGTCTTGAGCTACCGTACTCCCCAAGTTCAGTGTCACAAGCAATTATTCAAGATTTTTCGGAGCAAGTTTCAAATTCCACTGGCCTTCAAGCCATTCCAAAGACTGTTCTATACAAAGCCCCTCATGGCATAATGTCGAATTCTGTGGATCTTCAAATGGTCTTTTTCAACAAGACCATTTCAGAAATCGTGCCGTCTGAACGAATTCTAGCGATTCAATCGATGCGGCAAGCTGGAAATCCGGACTTAAAGAATGTTCCGGTCCTTCGAAAACCTGCGTCTCCATATCTTCTAACGGATAACTCGAGATCTGACACTTTCATTCAACCCGAACTATTTTTCCTGGTTCTTGGATTTTTGGTCCTATTGACGATCGTTTTGGCACTTTGCGGGCTCATGGCATGTTTCGCGCGCAGCAAATTTTTACGGGAAAAGAAGATTATGGAAAATGAGATGGCTATCAAGGATGCCATTCAACATCCGTCCAACAGGAGTCCAGCATTGATGTGAGTTGTTCGTTTGCAAAAAAAAATCCGTATAAGAATCAGAGTTCTAGCTTGTTTGGGAGTCGAAATATGAGCTTACAGACAAGAAATCTCCAAAAAAAGTTAGATAGCTGAAAAGCACAGCAAAAAATAATTTTTTTACAAAAAAAATCAGCGTTCTAACTCTCTTGGGAGCTGAGACAAAAGCGTTTGAAGTTTTTGAGAGACGCAGGCAACGAGACACTCTAACTTCTCTGCGTCTCTCTAAACTTCATAAGGGTATATCTGCTTAAAGGCAATCGATTGAGTTATTTTTTTACAGAATCATCTAATTTTCTGTAAACTTCACTTTCCATTCAAAATCATTTTTCTAGCATGTCTGCAAGCTGATATATAGGCTCTCAAAGTTAGGGAGACGCAGACAATGAGACACTCTAACTGTCTCTCTACACTTTAAATGCTCGTATCTCGACTTCTAGACGGTCTAGAAATCGAGATTTTCGATGCAATTTCTTATCTAAAAATTCCAGAAGCTTCAAACATTTCGCCCCACCACCACGAGTATCTGCCGAAATGTACCGTAACCACGAAGAGCACATGTATCGGTCGCCGAATTTGAATGAAAAAGTCGGCAGCTACGCGGTTCAACAAGCAACGATTACGGTAGCGAGCATGAGGAAAAAATCTGATTTTTTGTAATCTTTTGACGCTTTGTACATTCCAATCTGTTTTCTTTGTTAACACTTCCCTATACTGGTAATTTTTAAATTATTTTTTGTTGTTTCTTTTTTTCAAAAGTCTTGGATTTTTTGTCATAAAGCTGTTTTTGATTCTCAAACACATTCTTTTTTTTTGATTTTCTATTTCATATTGGTACATTATTCAGCTCTATAGCTAAATTTTGAACGAAATTACGCTTCCAAACTAATAAAGAGCAGAACTCATCCCAGCTTTTTGGTTTATAACTCTTTTCAAATACTATTTTAATGCATCGCTTTTATAATTCCGATAAAGAAGAAAATTTTTAATTTATTGATATAATTTTAAGGTCTCAACTTCAATTTTGAGCCTAGTTATGCCCTCTTAACTCTGTGGGCGCCGTCGCCCGCGAGATGTCGGCCGCTTAATTTTCTCCTGATTCATATATTTCCACCTACTCGGTAAATGTGGGCAACTTCTTCCCCAACTCTGGGCAGCTTTAGTCCCAACTCCAGGCAACTTCTAGCATTTCATAGGTCAAATGCTGCCCAGCGTCTGCCCACTTGTAGACAGTCCTCTCTGGCCCCTTCCCTTCCCGCTGTTCCCCTTCTCCCTGAAATATGTTAGTATTTGCTAGCTTTGCTAAACACTATTCACTTTATTTTAGAAAATAGAAAAAATAACAGGAAAGGGTGAGAAACAGAAAAGGAAAACAGAAAAAAATAAAAATGTTAAATGAAACAATTCGATCAACGACAATTATAAGGAGATCTCCAAACTTTGTCTCCTAGGCATCTTGGTCTCCAACTTCTAGTTTTGACTTGTAGTCTTTCCACGTCAAATGTGTCGAACACTCCGATCTTTTCTGCAAAAATGTAAAACTTAGCTTTGATGTAAAGAATATTAGTTTTCTCACCTTGCAATTCACGAGAATCCCGTTTGTAGTTGGGTTGTCATAAATGTCTTTTTTTCCAGTTGACTGTTCCGTTTCGTCGAAGGTTCTAAAATTGAGTCAATGTGAGCTTTAATTCAGAAAAAAATCATACCTCCTGGGTGGGATTCTTCTGATGGGATTTCGTAGAATTCTCCTCTTGCCATATGGTATTTCATCTCCAAAAATGAAACATACCGTAAAATCTGTATTGATATTGCATGCAAGTCTATTGTTCAAGTCACCTCAAGGGGTGCAACTCTATTAGAGGGGCAATTCAAATAGAGGCTGCAATTCTATTTTTCTTCGTATTACTCGTATTGGAATCCAGAATCGCGCCAAGTCTATTTCAAATAGTGATATGAAGGTTTGAAAACAGATTACCTACTTGAGATTAAACATTAAATGTTGCAGTTCTCGAATGGATGGCTGGTTTCTTTTTTGAAGCGGCTGGATTTTCGAGTAGACGTGCTACAACAGTCTGTCAAAAACCGCCAGAGTTTTATGTGGAGAAAATTATTGACTTTCTCCTTTATGTGGAACGATTAATTACCATGAATAATTATGACAAAATTTTCGCATGTGATGAGACGGCGGTTTATCTGGATTGTTCGAATAGTTTGACTGTAGCGGATCGAGGATCTAAACAAGTCAGCACACTCAAAAATAACAAGTTAAACGTTTCAATTTCAGGTTTCAGTGAAAACCACGGGACACGAGAAATTGCATGTTACAGTAATGCTGTGCGCTCGATCAGACGGTTTTAAGTGCAAACCTTTTGACTTCTTCCAAGAAAAAGACCAGTGCAAAGTATTGAGGAAACATTTAGAAAAACTTTGCAGTTGGTTTGGTGTGACAGAACATTTTTCAACGATGAAATCACAAAAACTTTTCTTGAAAAAGTTCTCGGTCACTCAATGTTCGGAAAAAGGTTGTTAGTATGGGACTCTTACCGTTGCCACATCAGTACAGACGCTAAAAAAGTATTGAAACAACTGAGACTAGACACTGCGGTGATTCCTGGAGGATGCACAAAATTCTTACAAGTGAGTAGATTTTATTGAAACTTTGCGTGACCCGATTTTTCAGGCTCCAGATGTATATTGGAACGCAATGTTTAAATCTTTCATCAGAAAAGAGTACGAAGATTGGATGGTTCATGGAACGAAATCGTTCACCCCGGCGGGAAATATGCGTGCTCCCAGTATGGAAGTTTATTTGAAATGGATTCAATTGGCGTGGGAAAATATCCCGAAGGAATACATTGTAAGATCATTCAAAGGATGCGGATTAAAAAATGGAAGAAATGGC